GAAGTAGAAAGGTAGATTCGAAAATTTGCATCGAATCGATGGAGGGAATGGAATAACGGGTTGGAAAAATGGAAGGAAATATGTGAACCGAGGAGCTTGCACGCGATCAATAACGTTGTAAATATTATACAGATCTGTATAATTCGAAGAGGGTTTCGACATCGATCATACGATACCGTCAAACAGGAAATTTCTATCAAGAAGAATCTATTGTATCTTCGAATCATCGCCACGGTAGATTTCCAAGGCAAGGAAAACGTAACTTCAATCAATGGATCCTATCGTTAAATCATTCTTGACGATAACCAAGATGCTTGGTTCCCTTTAACAATTATATTATAACGTTATTCGTGACACTTTTTTGTACTTGGTTACGATGAAAATCATAAAAGGGTGGTGTAGATCGAAATAGAGGGGAAGGGGAGGGGTAGCCGGCGGTGGGCGATCGCCGGGGGTTAGCGGAACTGGGCGCAGTTGGAGCTCCAGCTGCAGTCACGAGCGGCAGTAGCCATCGACGTGCCGCTAACGAAACAGGCAAACGAGTACCTGCAGAACACGATCAATACTCCGGTATACTGAGAGAGTGCACTCCGCTCGGAGCACGTGTTCCCGTTTGTTTTGTTCCTTTGTCCCCTCCGCGGCTCTGCGTTCCACCGACCGCCACTCTTCTACCCCCCTCCCCTTCCAACAACGAATCCACTTCTTTCCAATCTGTCCACGCGAATCTTTCTTTGAGAATGAAAAAAAAAAAAAAAAAAAAAGAAAGAAAATAAAGATTCGCGTTGAAAGAACCCGTTTATTTCTTTTTTTCAGGTTCGATAAAAATATCGAATCGTCGTGTCCGACGAGAGAGAAATTCAAATGAAATTCGTTCGAAGCAGAGTCATCGTCATCGCAGAGCACCGAGTGGAACGCGGGCCGATACTCGAATTATACTCGTTTAATCGTCGCGCATAAATTAACGGGGCATCGAATTAGCATCGTTTAGCATCGTGAAACTGCTCGTCCAGTTACCCAGCCGGATAACGGACACGAGGCATTAATCCCCGCGACAGGCTGATCGTAATTGTGCCACGGTTAAAATAACCTGAAATTTTCGGATCGGGATTTTCGTATATACATACATATGTACGATCTTTCTTAATTAAACTTAAACGTTCCACGGGAGAGGAGATTGCACGCGTGTGTCGAGAAATGCAAAAATTGTAATCCGGGAATAATAGTTTTCTTTCGTCTATTAAAAATAGAACGGTTGTTGAACGGCCGGGAAGGCGAAAAGGGGAAGGGAGGGGAGGGGAGGGAGACAGAGGTGTGTGCAGGGAAGCGAAGTTGTATATATATTATATGTTATATATATGTATATATGTATATATGTATATATATGGAGCAACGGGTATCAATGTTCGCGGTACCACTCCAGAATCTCGGGGCCAAGAGGTTAAAGCCGAGTTTGCACGGGAACGTAAACTCGGCCGCCCGGCAGGTGGGCCACTGCACGTGCGCGGATGGCAGAAATCCGGCGAAATTCGATCGATTCCGGGAGGAAGGGAAGAGGAAGGTTCGGCGAACATTGGGGCGCTGACGGGGTTCGCCAGCCAGCCAGCCAGCCAGCCAGCCAGCCAAGGCCTACGAATCGACTCGTGCTAAGAAACCGAGTGCTCTCTTGACCCCGATATCCCCCGCGGTGCGTTCCTTCGAGCGATCGAAACCCGACCTTGGCTTCGAGAGACCGATGCGCCCAGCCTCTCCTTCTCTCCTCCCTCGCCACGGATGGAACCGTGGATTCCATCGCGAACCACCTTCTTCCAAGCTCTCCCCTCCAAAACTCCGGATAACGGAGTGAAAGAAATCGCGAAAACGTTAAATTTTCCTTTCGGATCTTTTTAAATATAAACCGAGCGAACCACGGAAGCGAAACAACTCTCCCTTTGATCATAGCCACGGAATCGAATTCGGCACGGTACGGTTAATTAACGAAGATGGAGATTTCACGCGAGTTAATTAAAGCACGCGATCGATCCATCGTTGTTGCGTGTTGTGTGAATCGAGTCGATCAATCCTCTCCACCGTATATTTCCCGTTCGTTCTCGCCAAAGATTCGACGAGAACGTGTCTCTCTAGATTACTAGAGAGTTGTTACGTTTGTTCGCGAATCGAAATTTCACGAGACCATTAGTTTTTATATATATCGATAAAAATGCGGAGTCCGATAACGCGGGCCAATCGTCATCTTCCTTCTCATCGTTCGCCTCTGACGATAAATAAAAAATGCAATTATCGTTGGACGAGAGGATCCACGCTCTCCGCTAAACCGACTAATATGTGTATATACTCGGGCTTCGTTACGTATAATTTCGTTAAACTCGCAAAAACTCGGCTTCTTCTAAACGAAACGAAGAAAAAACATCGCGCCCGAGTATACGATGACTATACGAGCAAATTATACGTGGTTGCCATTGTGGAACGATTCGAGCAAGTTATAGCCGATAACCGTAGAGGAAAAAAGCGAGATGCGAATTTTTTTGGTGATATAACGAAACCGTTGCGTAACTTTCAATTATTATTTTTCCTGTTTTCTGTTTTGTTTTTTTTTTTTTTTTCATTTTTTGTTCGCGATTATTTTATCCGATTGTTATTGTAATCCGAATCTTTGCTTCTGTTGGAAAGAAATCGATCGATTTATATAAATAAATGGATAAAATTCGTGGATTTTAATTCGCCAATATTTACGTTTCTTTTTTTTTTTTTTCGCGTTACAATTTCTATTACGATATTGTAAATATTGCGAGGCATACGTGAAAAGAAAATTATTATTATTAATCGTTGATAATTATTAATCATGAATAAATGGAAAAACTTGCTTTTTTTTCTTTTCATTTTAAATGCTTCCCACTCCTTTTTTCCCTCGATAAAGTTATTTGTCCGATATATTCTAATAAACATTACGTTCACCTCGGAAGAGAAACTATTAATCATGATAACGCGAGGCGGTCAGAAAATTCATTAAAAATCGGTCTGGCGAAACGAAAAATGTTGACGAGCTTCCCCAACTTCGTTCCAATTGCACAAACACGAGGAATATTCCAGGATTCGGATTTCATCGGCTCGATATCGTTCCGCTTTTCAGGAAAACTTACACCGGCTCAGACCTTGCTAGTTCACTGAATAAGTGATATATCGCAGGCTCTAGCGCGCAACGGAAAGGAAAGGAAAGGAAACGGGCGGTCGATCGCGATTTGGTAGCAAATTACACGAGCGAAAGGCATGTTAAAGCTGGTAAACAAGATTTTCGGCTCGTCCAAGCGTCGTCCCTCTCGCTTCGGAACGTTCGAAACGGATATTTTCCAACTCCTCGTGACCAATTCTCTATCGCCCCGGCTCCTCTGAACCGTGAAATTGATAAAAGGTCGCGAGAAGGGGGTTCTATTGGAAGAACTCGTTCCAAGAACTCGGTCGAAAACGGTAATTAAATTCGAGAGGTGTGGCAACCCCGCCCCTGAAACGACGAATTCCTCGATGCTGCAACTTTTTTCTTAAGGTTGTCGAGTTAACAGGGAGAAAACGAATTTTGTTCCAGAGAATTTTTATCTTTTCGAAATTTCTTGCACTGATCTTACATAATACATCGATCCTCGCGTAATATCGCGCGATGTTTCTATGCAGTTTTCTATCATTATTAGTCTTCATTCTTGATTCGGAATTTTAAAAAAAAATTTAAATGCTATCTATTTTCCATTTCAATTAAATAGAAAGAACGCGAATCCGGTAAACGTTCTTTGTGCAAAGAATAAAGAAAAATTTTTATACAATGTAATCAGAATGCAAAATATTTTTAAAGTGTAGCTTTTTTGAATTTTCGATTGCAGCGTGATGTAATATATTTGCACTCTTGTCTAATGTACTCATATATATATGTTTTAATAAAAAGAACGTAGACTCGTATCCCATTAGATATTTAATGCCAGATTACGATCCCAGATTTACGAAGGTTAAAAATGTATCTTTGGACTCGGCCAAAGCGCTCTTGTAATTCGATATAATTATTCTCAAGTAGCAACAAATGGTTTTTGCAAACGAGTCATTAAAGGAAACGCAAACGTTGTAATTTCAGTAATCGCGAATCTGCCAATTCACGTTGTTGATTTCCTCTACAACGCTTGTATTACATATAAAACGATGTAAAAAAAAAAAAATATCCCTTTCTTTTAAACGACTTTAAACTTTTAAACTTTTAAACGACAAATTGACAAATTTGCTAAGGGATGCATCGAATCTCTCGACCTTCGATACTTTATTCGTTCGAACTTGATCTCTCGATGAAAAAACGTAAACAGATAACAGTGTTGCCGGATGTGAATTCGACCAACACTGTTCAACTTATACGTCGTCGATGCTCCGAGCAACCTTTCGTTCTGATCACGAGTTTTCAGACGCATGAAAACTTAAAACTAAACAATTTAATACTCTCCCTCGACACGATTCGATCCGAATTTAAGAATCGAAATCCCTTTCCAAAATCCAATTGAATGCGACACTTTATCGTTTTTTCTCAATTTTTTACCAAATTCATCGATTCTCTCGAACGAAACCGAGAACAGAATCGGAGAGAAGAAAAACAGGATGCGTTCAGGGTCACGGCCGCGGTTGCGCAGCACGAAAGAGCGCACTTCCGTTACGGGGCCGAAAATTAGCCGTGTTTTCTTTAACCAATTACCTAAAGGACTTCAATCAGCGGGCAACGTGGATGCGCGTTCAGCAACCCTCCTTCCTCCCCTTGCACACACGCCCACATCCCGTGCAGCCGTTATAAAAACGCCGCCACCGATGCGTCCCGGCAACCATTGTA